CCTCTCCCTGCCCCTCCCCCATTCACGCTCTGTCTCTGTCTTTCTCTTAAAAATAAATAAACATTAAAAAATTTTTTTTAAGGTAAAAAATACCTTTGTAAGTATTGGTTTGGTTGCATCTGACAAGTTGTGTTATATCATACTCTCAGGATCATTCAGGTCTGGTTTCCATTATGATTTGTTTTTTGACCTGTATTTATTTAGAAGTGAACTTTTTATATTTGGAAACATTTGAGAAATACCTGTTTTTAAGTTCTAAGTTAATTCCAGAGGCTTCAGAATATATGCATTCTTTTTTGATATTAATCATTTGAAATTTATAGATGCTTGTTTTATGGCCCAGAATATTCTGATAAATACACTGTGAGCATTTGAAAAGAATGTGTATATAGTCTATAGTTTGGGAGTACAATGTTCAATTAGGTCAATTTGATTACTCCTGTTCAAAGTTTTATGCCCTTATTTTTTTTCTCTTCCTGTCATTGGTTACCAATGGAGGGTATTAAAATCTCAAACATTTGAAAGGGTATTAAAATCTTAAACTATCCTTTAATTCTGTTGGCTTTCCTATACATATTTTATTTATTTGTTTTAATCTTTTAAGTTTATTTATTTATTTTGAGAGAGTGAGCGAGCAAGGGAGGGGCAGAGAGAGAGGGAGGGAGAGAACCACAGGCAAGCTCTGCACTGTCAGCACAGAGCCCAATGTGGGGCTCGAACTCACAAACTGTGAGATCATGACCTGAGCTGAAACGAAGAGTTGAACACTTACCGACTGAGCCACCCAGGCACCCCTCGCTTTATATATTTTAAAGCTGTGTTATTAGGTACGTAAGAAATGTAAGACTCCCATTTTGTTCTTGTTGAATTGTACAACATGTCACTTATAATGCTGCTCGCATTGAAGCCCATTGTATCTGTTATTAATATACTAACATCAGCATTCTTCTAATTAATGTCTAATACATTTTCCACTCTTTTATCTTTAATATGTCTGTGTCTTTATGTTTCAAATGTATCTCTTATAAGCAGCATAATTGATCCTGTTGTTCTTTTCAATCTAATCTGACAATCTTAGCTTTTAAATGCAATGTTTAGTACATTTATATTTCACTATAATTACTGATAGAGTTTGATTTAAGTCTGTAATCTTGGGATATATTTTGTTTGTCCTACTCATTCTCATTTCCTGTCTTATTTTCAATTAATCAAGTATTTTTTATTATTTCATTTTATCTCTCTGTTAGGTTTTTCTGGTTGTACATCTTTGTATAATTCTTTAATTCTTTGTATAATTCTATAATTCTTTAACTGAGCTATTTTTGACTGCATCTTTAATATAGTCTCCTTTAGGTTAGGGCTTTTACTACCTACCAAATAATGTGAGACCATTTTAAGTTTAACTCCATTTATGGTGTTACTGTCATTTCTTCTTCATTACAAGCCCCACAGGTGTTATTATTTTTGTTGCTTTAAAACAGTCCATTTGTTTGGTCATATTATTCATATATATATACTGTCCTAGCTTTTTGTACATCCACACTTCCATCCGGGATTACTTGCCTTTAGCCTGATTGCTGTCCTTTGGTATTTCTTGTATTGTGGGTCTGTTAATAAATTCTCCAAGCTTTTGTTAGAAAAGGTCTTTCTTTCACTTTCATTTCTTTTTTAACTGTTTATTTATTTTGAGAGAGAGCAAGCAAGGGGGGAAGGGGCAGAAGAGAGGGAGAGAGAAAAATCCCAAGCAGGCTTCACACTGTGAGCGCAGAGCCCCATGCAGGGCTCCATCCCGCGAACCATGAGATCATGATCTGAGCCAGAATCAAGAGTTAGATGCTTAATTGACTGATCCACCTAGGCGCCCCTCACTTTCATTTCTGAACAATATTTTCTTCGGGTATAAAATTCACAGTTGTCATATTTTTCTTTCAACACTTTAAAGATCTGATTCCATTCTTAGGCTACTATAATTTCTGTTGAGAAATGAACTCTTTCTCTTGTTGTGTTCTTATAACTGATATCCTTTAACAACATACTATTAAGATATGCTTTTAAACTTTGTTTTTCAGTTGTTTGGCCATGCTGTGCCTAGGTATGGATTTGCGCATTTTATCTGGTTAGGTTTGATGAGTTTTTTGATTCATACATCAAAGCATTTCATGAGATTTGTGATGTTTTTGTCCATTGCTTCTTCAAGTAAATTTCCTGTCTTATTTTTTTAGGTGTTCAATCTCATGTCTTGACTACCTCTTGTATTTCTCTTATGTTCTGCTCTGTTCTTTCCTTTTTTCTCTCTGCATAAGATTATTGTTAATTTGACTTGACATTGACAATTCAATACATTCTTAATTTTCAGTATTCTATTCTTATAAAATGTTCATGTGAATCTCTTAAGATTCTAAATCCCTATTGATATGCTTCATTTTGCAGTCTGACTGAGCCAGCCAGATGAACCCCCCTCCCCCACTTTTTTTTTTTTTTTAAATTTATATTTTTGGGACAGAGAGAGACAAAGCATGAACGGGCGAGGGGCAGAGAGAGAGGGAGACACAGAATTGGAAACAGGCTCCAGGCTCTGAGCCATCAGCCCAGAGCCCGACGCGGGACTCGAACTCACGGACCACGAGATCGTGACCTGGCTGAAGTCGGACGCTTAACCGACTGCGCCACCCAGGCGCCCCTCCCCCACTTTTTTTAAGTAAGCTCTACACTCAACATGGAGCTTGAATTCACAACCCTGATATCAGTAGTCATGTGATCTACCAATTGAACCCATTTTGCATCCCATTTTGCCCATATTTTTTTTTATTTTTTTGAGCATCTTAATATAATGTTTTTAAGTCCTTGTCTATTAGCTTCACTATGTAGATAATCTCTGGATCTGTTTATACTGAGATTTTTTTCTGTTGATTATCAGTAGCCTTCTCCTGTTTCTTTGCATGTTTAATAATTTTTATTGTATGCTGGCATTGTGGATAATATACAGACTCTGGATTAGGTTATCTTCCTTTAATGAGTTTACTTAAGGGTTTCTCATTAAAATTTTTTTTTTTTACCATTTATTTATTTTTGAGACAGAGGGGGACAGAGCATGAGCAGGGGAGGGGCAGAGAGAGAGGGAGACACAGAATCTAAAACAGGCTCCAGGCTCTGAGCTGTCAGCACAGAGCCCGACGCAGGGCTTGAACTCACGGACCACAAGATCATGACCTGAGCCTAAGTCGGACGCTTAACCGACTGAGCCATCCAGGTGCCCCAAGGGTTTCTCAGTCTTAATGCTGTTGATATTTTCAGCTAGATAATTCTTTGTTGTGGGGAGGAGGGGGCTTTCCTGTACATTACAGGATGTTTCACAGCACCTCTGGTTCTCTACTCACTAGAAACAATAGCAGCCCTTTCCATATTTCGACCACCAAATATGTCCTCAGACATTGCTAAATGTTCCCCTGTTGAGAACCAATGGTCTGTACAGTCATTTTCAAAGTCTGCTTCACTTTCCATTGCATGAACGCACTATAATTTATTTAATTGACCATCTATCTAAGTACCTTTAGATTTAGTACCTTTAGATTTCTCTCCAGTTTTTTCTTTTAATTTTAACTAGTATCTATAATATTCCTTTATACATCTCTAGGCACATTTTACAGTTATTTCCTTTGGATGGAAACTCACAAATGGCCTTTCATGGCTAAATTCTTATGGAAAATTCTACTTACATGTCTCAACTGCACTAGGTTTTCAGAAGTCCACAGGACACCATAAGAATGCTCTTAGGGCACCTGGGTGGCTGTTGAGCATCTGACTCTTGATTTCGGCTCAGGTTATGATCCCACTGTCATGGGATTGAGTGCTATATCAGGCTCCTCACTGAACAGAGAATCCCTGCTTGGGATTCTCTCTCTCTTCCTCTGCTCCTTTCCTGTGCTTGCGTGTTCTCTCTCTCGCTCTCACTCTCTAATTAAAAAAAAAAAAATATTCTTTTCCCCACAACCTTACTGTATGTGGTACATCACCAACCTTTGAAATCCAACAATTGAATACCTGTAAATGTTAGTACCTTATTGCTTAAAAAACATCTCTTTAGTAAATCTTTTGATAGGTGAAGTTTTAATTACCTATTCTTAGGTTTCACACAAGGGAACAAAAAATCTGCGTTTCAAAGGCAATAGTTAGGGGGAAAAGTTGGCCCTATAATTATAGAAATTAAATTCAAAACATATCACTTCTACTTATTGCTCATGATATAGGGAAAAGGCTTTAATTAAATGTTAATGTGTACACACTACCTATCACGTAAGGTTGCAAAAATCTGTATGTTGCTGTGTGGTTTCAGTAAGCAGGAATTCACTCCTCTCTTGTGGGTACTGGGTGGCTCGGGAGCTGCGGGCACAGGCAAGGACTCATGCCAGCAAAGTAGATCCTGATAGGGAAATCCAGGTTGGTCAACCCAGAGGATCTTAGAAGTCAAAGTTTTGGCTTAGGGGAAAGACTTCACATGGGCAGGCAGTTTTACAGTGGTCAAGGTTTCCAGGTTTGTCTCTACTGTTTTCTGTCTTTGGTGCAAAAGATTTTATGTCCAAGTCCATGAAGGATAAAGGTTGTTGCAGTTTGTGTTGTATGACTTGGTCTTTACCCTGGAACATAGGCCTGGATGGGGGAGGATCTATTCAGAATCACTGAACAACCCAGGCAGGGTTCAGTTGGCTTGGTAAGAATGAAAAATAAGGCACTGTGGGTGTCCGGATCGAGCTTTGGTGCAAGAGTGCCCCTGTTCTGTATCCACTCTTGTGTGGCTTGTATCTGTAGGTATGGGGAAGGGCTTGGGTTTCTCTGGACTTCTCATATCCCCTGATGTGTGTTAATGTGTTTGGGAGGGTGGAGAGTGGGAAAAAACAGTGGGAAGCAGAAATAAAGAAGAAAAAAGAAAGGTTCTCCTACCTTAAATAATTTTTGGAGTTCCGAGATACACAAGGTCTCAAGGCCTCTTTTTCCTCTCTCAGCTCTGGCTTCTCTGAACTCAGCTTCCCTAATAGAGGAAACCTGAAGAAGACAGGTGGTTTGAAAACCATGGCCCAGGTAGGTGTCTCTATCCTGAAATACTGTGATTTTTAGCTCATATAAAACTTTCATTCTTTATCCCCAAGGCCCCTATCTAGGAAAGTTGTATCTCTGACCCTATTTCATGGTTTCTCCCCTTACAGAGAAGGATGATGTCCTCCTCATTTGCTCCTTGTTTTTTTAGAACTGATTTTCAGTTATTCATCAAATAATTCATTTATCTTCTATGCGTTCAGTCTTCTCTCGAGAGCATTGTTAAAGGAATGAAAGAGTAAAGTACCTAGAAGGAAGTATTTGAGCTTCCCTTATCAGGTTTGTGGTTTCATGAGATAGAAGTGATGGTCCTATTTGATCACAGGAGGGTACACTTTCTCCATAGTTTTCCAGGGAGGTAAGGGAGAATTGGGTTAGGAATGTTCTCAGGGTCAGGTGTGAGATGAAACCTCAGCTTTGAAAAGCTTTTCAGTTTGGGTAGAAATGGTATTGGTGCCGAGAGACAGACAGACAGACAGACAGACAGACAGACAGACAGACATCCATCAGGGCCCTGGCTAAGGAATCACTGAGAACTGAATAAGGTAGTAAGGTCCATTTTGTATTGGAAGAGAAATAGCTGGTCTTGAGTCAATCAGTGTTGGTCTGATCATCCTATATTAGTGTGTTCTAACTCAGGAACAGGAATTCAGTAAGGGATTGTAGAAAGGAAGATCATCTAGAACTACACGTCCTAGATGATACTGAACAGTGGGGAAAAGCTTAGGATTTGGGTCCACCCTAAATATCATAATAGCATAATACTTTACATTTAATATTATTTTAATAACATTGATAACACCTTAAGACTTTAAGAAAAATTAAATCTGATGTCTTTAAGAGGGACTAAATGAAAACTTTAACTTGTGAAAATAAAGGAGATGCTTATGATACACAACCTGACATATATTACATCTTGATAAAATTACTTAATTTTATAGAAACTATTTCCGAAGATAGAAACTTTATCAGCTTTTTGAAGTATAACTGACATATAATTGAGTGTATTTTGTCTCTTTAGAGTAGCTTTATTGAAATTTAATTTACAATAAATTGCTCATGTTTAAAGTGTGGAATTTAATGAGTTTTGACCTATGTATATACCTGTGAAACTCTTACCATTATCAAGATAATAAAAATTTTTCTCATGTCCCTTTATAATCGCCCCCTCCTTACCTGCTCCCAACCTTGCCCTTTGTGCCCAGGCAATTGCTGTCTTCCTTTCTGTCACTATAGGTTAGTTTGCATTTTTCTAGAATTTTATATAAATGTAATCATACATCATGTGCTCTTTCATTAGCTTATTTCATTCAGCATATTTATGTTGAGATTCATCCATATTGTTGCATATCTTATTCCAGTATATGTTCCATTCCAGTAGTATATTCCATATAATTACTGATTAGTATTCTCGTCTCAGGATATACCAAAATTTTCCATCCATTCTTCTGTTGATGGATATTTGAGTTCTTTCCACTTTAAAAAAGAAAATTTTTTTTTTTTATTTTAATTTGAGAGAGAGAGAGACAGAGCCTGAGCAGGGGAGGAGCAGAGAGAGTGGGAGACACAGAATCCAAAGCAGTCTCCAGGCTCTGAGCTGTCAGCCCAGAGCCCGATGCGGGGCCTGAACCCACAAACCGTGAGATCGTGACCTGAGCTGAAGTCGGAGGCTTAACCGACTGAGCCACACAGGTGCCCCTAAGTTCTTTCCACTTTTTGACTACTACAAGTAAAGCTGCTATGCCAAAATGCTTCATGCCAAAATCTTTGTGTGGACATATGCTTTCATTTATCTTGGGTGAACACCAGGAGTGGAATGACTGGGTAACGTGGATGTTTAACTTTTTAAGAAATAAACTGGGACACCTGGGTGGCTCAGTCAGTTAAGTGTCTGACTTCGACTCAGGTCATGATCTCGCAGTCCATGAGTTCGAGCCCCGCGTCAGGCTCTGTGCTGACTGCTTCAGATTCTGTGTCTCCCTCTCTCTATGTCCCTCCCCCACTTGCGCTGTCTCTCTCTCAAAAATAAGTAAACATTAAAACAATTTTTTCAAAAAGAAATAAACCGTTTTTCAAAGTGATTGTACCATTTTACATTCCCACCATCAGTATTTGAGAGTTCCATTTCTTTCCACATCCCTGGCAACACCTAACACAGCCTATTAAATTTTAGCCATTCTAATAATTATGTAGAATACTGTCTCCTAGCAGTAAGCTAGGGCAATCATAGAGTTCACTGCATTTGTTACTTATCTCTCAATGATCACTACCTAATATTTTCTGTTTTGAAAACTATTGTCTCATACATTTTGTCCATGTTTTTGGTTATTTCACATGGGAAGGTAAATCCAATCCCTGTTACTCCATTTTTGCTGGGATAGATTTTTTATTTCATTTTGGGGAAGAAAGTGAACAATGCTCCTTACATATACACTGAGGAGAAAAAAGGTCAGAACGTGCATTTACTAATAGTGTCTGATTTAGGTACATAGTAGGTAATGTGCCTATATATACTGTTTCATTTAATTGGGAAAGTCTTGGTTACTTAATTCATTTTCATACATTTAAAGTTTTCCTCTATTTTTAAAGAAATTTGTTGTACTCCAACAGGATTCTTCAAGACTGTGTTGGCACTCTACTTCAGAAGCTAATTTATTTATCTTCGTCTGATCGTGTCATGATCTTGTAACTCCGCTTACTTGTTTTTCTGTATTGCCCCCTTACTGCAATTCAGCCATTCCATCTTGAACATTTTTTCTTTACTGTTACAAATAATACGTGGGTTTGTCATTTCAGGTGCCATTGACATTCAGTGATGTTGCCATAGACTTTTCTCAGGAGGAGTGGGAATGCCTAAATTCTGATCAGAGGGATTTGTACAGAGATGTGATGTTGGAGAATTATACTAACTTGGTCTCACTGGGTAAGGACATCTGCCTGAAGTGATGTAGAATCTGCTGTCTGGAATAGCTGCTTTCTCCACTGTGTATTTTATGTTCTATAGCGAGAAACCAGATAAATGTCTCCATATTCATATTCTCCAAGGCCTAGTTTGACCTTTATTAGGTGGAAATGGGCATCTCTCTTCAGCACCTGAATCTTTTCTGTCTTTCATTTACCTCCCTCCGCCCCATCCTACAATTCCTTCTTTTTCTAAATCAATAAAGGTTTGAATTATTGGGCTTTTTCCTGCATAACCAATGCAAAGGAAACACATTTCATATTATGTGTATGTCCAGAATATCTACAAATATTCCACTTTAATTGCTGGTCCACCTACATGGAGAACAGATAACACGGGGTCCTGGTTTTCTCTTTGCCACAAAAGAAGCGTGGTAATTTCTACAGTGTAGAATGAATCAAGAGTATTATCTGCTTAGTGTTATTTTTGCATTTACAGCAGGAGAAAAGTTGGCTTGCAGTGCTTTTATAGATTCTACTGAGAAGTGAAAGTCTTTGTTCAGTTTTTGGAAAATGCTTGGCCATTATTTCTCCTGGGATGCCAGTTATGGTGATGTTAGATATTTCTAACACAGTTCTATCATGGATTTATTTCCCTTTCTCTCTATCATTTTCTGTTGACGTGTATTTCAGCTCATTTATCCCATATTCTGCTATGATGAGTCTGCTCTTAAAGATGGATTTTTCATATCAGATGTGGTCTTTTTCAGTTCTAGAAATTCAATTTGGTGGTCTTTTATGGCATCTAATTATCTGTTGAAATTCTTCATTCCTTTATTTACTTTCTTTTCATTACTGTTTTCTCATCTGTTTTCTTAAACATTTTAATCAAAGCTATTATGGAATTCTTGAAGGCCTTCATTTTTTGTACTATCCTTGGGTATGATTCTCGTTCTTTTTTTTTCCTCTCATTATTCGTCATCTGGTAATTCCTCTTTAAGTCACCTGGAATTGTGATTGTATGCTGGACATCGTGTTCACAAGAACTGAACAGTTTCCATATGATGGGATCTTCCACCAGAGTATTTACATTTTCCTCTATTAATTGATAGGATGGCAGGCTGATCACTATAATACAATCAGGGAATGAGCTGGGTCAGTGCTAGTTTTCAGTTTGGGTAATGGTCAGCTACCTCTTTTTTATCACTTTACTGCTAGCTGCACTCGGAATCAATGAGTTTCTACAGGGGAAAAGTAGTGGATCCTCAGGACCAATTCACCACTTCTTCATGGCTCTTATTGCTTATCTGTTTCGATTTTAAGCTGCTTCTCCCAAACGATCTTTAAAAAAAAATTCTTTTTAATGTTTATTTATATGAGAGAGAGAGGGAGCAGGGGAGGAGCAGAGAGAGAGAATCCTAATCATAGAGCCTGATGCAGGGCTCAATCTCACGGCTGTGAGATCATGACCTGAACCAAAATCGAGAGTCAGACGTTCAACCGACTGAGTCACCCAAGTGCCCCTCTGAATGGATTTTTTTGATTCCAGAAGAATTGTTAAGAATTAATAAGTGAATCATCCGCTTGACATGCCAGGAAAAGAAGAGCATAACAGACTTAAAGAAAGTAGAAGAAAGGAAATAGTAAAAGAAAGTAGAAAGTAATGAAATGAAAGCCAAACACAAAAGAGCAAGTCAAATCAATTTGCTTCTCTCCAAGAACTAGTAAAAGTGGTGCAACTCTCTCAACATGAATCAAGAAAAAAAAAAAAAAATCTGTGTAAGGAAAAAAGCCACCTCATTACAAACCTTGAAGCCGTGAAATACAGTATTTTGAAAATCATCCTGCCAAAAAGAAACGCAAAATCAAATGAAATAAATGATTAGAAAATTTTAATCTACAAAAATTTCCACTCAAGAAAAAAACCTGAAAAGTCTCATAAGCACTAAAGGAACTGAATCAGTCATCAAGAGTCTCCCCCAAAATTAGAAGATTCAGGCCTAAATCATCTGTCATTAAAGTACAGGTGCAACAGTTTGAACATGTAAGAATTTTGGGAAAATATTCCCCATAAATGCTTTTGCATGTTGAGTCTAACAAAGAATAAGCTATGGAGAGAGGGACAAACCATAAAATAGACTCTTAACGACAGAGAACAAACAGGGTTGAGGGAAGGAGGAAGGTGGGGGATGGGCTCAATGGGCGATGGGTATCAAGGAGGGCACTGGCTGTGATAAGCACTGGGTGTCGTAGGTAACTGATGCATCACTTTCTGTTCCTGTAATATTTCACTGTATGTTGACTAGCTAGCATTTAAATAAAAACTTGAAACAAAAAAAAAAGAACATTAAAAGATGAGAAGAGTAGCCATCTTTTTAAAATATGGGATATACTTACAATAGCTTTTTCCAGTATCCTTGCCTACTAATTATATTATCTGCATCATTCCTTGGTCTGTTTCTTTTGATTCATTTTTCTCCTAGTAAGGGTCACATTTTCCTGCTATTTGCATGCCTGATCATTTTTTATTAGATGCCAGACATTGTGAAGTTTACTGTGTTGGGATGCTGGATTTCTACTATTCTTTTACACATTTTTGGGCTTTGGTCTGGGATACAGTTATGTAATTTGGAATCTGTTGATCCTTTTGTGGTTTGCTTTTAAGTTTTGCTAGGGTGGGTCCAGAACAGCTTTTAGTCTAGGGATAATTTGCCCCACCGTCACCCCCACCCCACTGAGGCCTTATCCTTCTGTGGAGTGGACTCTGTTTGATGCCTCGTGTTATGGGGTCTTCCCATTCTGGTTGGTGGAAACAGGAATTTCCCAGGCCCTTTCTGACTTCCAGGGGATGTTCTGCCTACTTCTATCTGGTAGTACATTCTTTGTTATTTGTTTCCTCACACAGATGTCCAGATTCATACTCCTCCAGCTTCAAGGAGATTCCTCTACAGATCTCTAGAGATCTCTCTTCCTCCTTTCTAGTACTCCAACTTGCAAATTCTGCATCTCTTTCTTTCCCTTCATTCTCTACTCTGTCTTCTCAACTCAGGGATATAGCTGCACTGTTTTAGTCTCCCCTCCTTGTGCTTTGTTCTGGAAATTCTCTTTAGGCAGTCAGATGTGGTACTTGTGGGGCACACTTCATTTGTTTCCCTTCCTGTCTGGCGCTATTTTCCTGTCTGGCGCTAGTTTCCAATATTTGAATGATATTGTTTCATCTATTTTGTTGGGTTTTCTAGTTATTTAAGGTAGGAGGGTAAATTTGATCCCTCTTAATGTTACATGACCAAAATCACAAATTATTCACTCTGTCTTTGAGAGCTTCTTTGCACTTTAATACAAGAGGTTTTAGACTCACCTTATATCTTCCCTGCCCTGGACCAGGAATTAGCTATTTCTCCAAGGCACCCTAGTTCACATTAGTGGGAAACAGTTTACAGAGACTGAAACCTGGCCAACAGGGAAGCTAATTGTAATCACCTTTTTGTGGGCATAAATACACATTTTTAAAATTATTTCTTCTATGGAAATTGGTTTGTTTAGATTTTCCATCTCTTCTGGGGTCTATTTCTGTTATTGTCTTACTTTTTATTTTGAAATAATTTTAGATTCACAGAAGAGTTATAAATGTGGTACAAAGAGTTCTAGTATACCATTCCCATAATGATGATAACATCTTACATAACCATGGTACATTTGTGAAAACTACCAAATTAACATTTTACAATTACTATAAACTAAATATTTTATGTAGATTTCGCCAGTTTTTGCACTAATGTCTTTTTTTCTGTTTCAGGATCCAATCCAGGATACCACATTACTTTTAGTCATCACGTGTCCTTAGTTTCCTCCAAATGTGACAGTTTCTCAGTTTTTCCTTCTCTTTCTTGACCTTGATACTTTTGAAGATACAGTTTGGTCAGGTATTTAGTAGAGTGCCTCCAAATTTTGGGCTGTTTGTTTTCTTATGATCAAACTGAGATTATGGATTTGGGGGAAGAATACCAGAGAAGTACCCTTCTCATTGTATAACGGGAGTACATGATATCGATATGATTTATCAGTGTGCTGTTAACCTTAAAAACTTGTATAAAGTAGTGTCTGTCAGTTTTCTTCACTGAAAAGTTATTATTTTTGTTTCCTTTTCATATTCTATTTGTTAGGACCAAGTCAGTAAATCTCACTGGGGTCAGTTTTTATAAATAATATTTTCAGAAAAAAAGTCATCATGTACATCTCAAATTTATTTGCATAGTTGTCTTTAAGGATTTCTTAAACATTCTCTATTTCTTTATTGATGACTGACTGCCTGTTGTCATTGCGTTTGGATTGTCTTCCTATCTTTTGTTCCTTGAATAGGTAGGCTAGTGGTTTGTTCGTATGTGTTAATTGTACAGTTTTATTTAAAATTTGTTTTTATTGATTTTCCTTTTCTGCTTTCCTTCAATATTTTTTTAATCATTCTTTTTCTAATTTTTGTCTTTTCCTAATTTTGGATTTAATATTTAATTTATTCACTTCAATTCTTTAATTTTTCATTTGATGTACACCTTTTGGTCCATGTGTTTGCAGCAATACAGTTGAAGGCCATAGATTCTGATGTGTTGTATTTTTACTATCATTCTTTTTAAGATGTTCTGTGGTTTCAGTTTGTATGTTATCATTCTCTAAAAGTAGTTGTTGGTTTTTATTTATCCAGAGAAAGGGTTTTGGCTTTTTGAGATTGCTATTCATTTTTCATTGATTCAGAGAATATTGTTTGCTTTACTTCAACTTTGTGAACATATTGTACTTCATTCATAGAAGAATCCCACTTGTCTTCACCTCATACTCGACCCATTTAGCACATGAGAGTCTTTCAGGCTGCTCCACCATCCAGACAGCCCATTTTTAGCCTACATTCAACGTATTCTTTGTTGCAGCGTCCCAGGCATTTGGTTTCCCAGGGTCTGTTCCCATGGTATTTAGTTACTTTATTTTTCCCCAACATCCTCAAGTTTAATTTCTTAGATGTTCATAAGCATTTAAAAATAATATTAACTATTGCAATTCCTGAAATGCATTTCTGTGAAATTCAAGGACAATTTGCCTTGCCTATAAAGGAATGGAAGGGAGAATTTGGGAAAGCCATTAGAGAGAAACAGAACACAGTTAGCATCAGTAGGATGGATAAACAATGTTAAAGTTCTACTGATGAAGGTAATACACCATCTGATTATCTTGATTGAGATAAAGCAGAAAAACAATCATGACTTGGCACAGGAAGGATGGAACAATGTACGTCAATTTAAGGGGATAAGCAGGTGGAGAACGATCAGGTATCACCTCTTTCCATTTATATTTTTGACTAAGCTGGTTTGGCTGTACATTTTTCTCACCTGTAAGGTAAATGATAGAGGAAAGCATACTTTACTATAATAAGGCATGAGAGATTAGGACCAGCGAGAGATAGTTGATAACTATTGCATCATTTTCAGAAACGAAATGGTTATTTTGCTTGGCTGCCTTCCCCAGTGACCTTGATTTTCATCCTTATTTACCTTTATTTTCATCCAAGTTATTTTTTTTTTAACGTTTTTATTTTTATTTTTGGGACAGAGAGAGACAGAGCATGAACGGGCGAGGGGCAGAGAGAGAGGGAGACACAGAATCGGAAACAGGCCCCAGGCTCCGAGCCATCAGCCCAGAGCCCGACGCGGGGCTCGAACTCACGGACCGTGAGACCGTGACCCGGTTGAAGTCGGACGCTTAACCGACTGCGCCACCCAGGCGCCCCCATCCAAGTTATTTTTTAAAATTCAGTACTTTATTCTACAACTAAGGACTTGTTTTGCAGTAGTAGTTGCAAGAATTTTTGAGTTTTAGAGTAAGAAACTAAGTAGTAAAACAAATGAGAAAATAAGTATGTAATAGAGAAAAGTATTTTGAAGACAAAAAGTTAGGTGTTGGAATACAGGATAAAGGATATGAATTTACTTAGAGTTAGCAGAGGCAGCCTTTCTGAAGAAGTGATTTCTAACCTGCAGCACCTGAAGATAGTAATTTAAAGGAGTGAGGTAAGAGGATTTCTGAAAGGTGGATCCCCAGGGAATGGGAAAGGTCATGGGACATCTTAGTAGCTGAAGAGATGCATTGGGATAGTATATAGGGAACAAAGATGCCAAGGGCTTGAAATGAATTTGTGTAAATAAGACATCCTTTTTATTCATGATTGTGTATTTAGGTTTCATGCTAAGATAAAGACAACCCACCGAAAAAATTACATAGAGCCTCTGATAGATAATGTTAGAAATGTAGATAACCAGAACCTACTCCTGCAGAATCTGATTCAGTCTCAGTGGATCTCTAAAAGGCACTATATATAAAAAGCTCTCTCTGTAATTTTGACCCACACTAAATATGAGAACTACTGACTTTTTCTCTTTGCCTACTCACAAACCTTAAAAGTCTCGTATGAACTTTTATAATTTCCTGAGGCCTTCTTGCCTCTTAAAAATTTAATGACACGATTTTAGGATTTTATAACCCTTTTACTTCCAGTGAGTATACTTCTCAATTTATCCCTATTTTTACTCTAGAAGGCCCCTCCTCACCCCCAGTACAGGAAAATAGCATTTATTTTCTCATTTTCTTTCAGACTTTGATTTTACAACTGAGACCAACAAGTTATCTTCAGAAAAAAGCAGTTATGAAGTAAATTCATACCATCGGGAGACAATGAAAAGAAGTAAAACCTTCAACCTAATGAGGTTTATTTTCAGAAATGACCCACAGTGCAGAATTGAATTTGGGAGAGAACAGGGACCCAACATGGGATGTTTTAGTCAAATGACATTTATAAAACATATATCTCTTCCTCTACATCAGAGAATTCACTCTAGAGAGAAATCCTATGAATGTAAGGAATGTAGGAGGGGCTTTAGAAAAAAATCACACTTTACTGAACATTTGAGAGACCATAATGGTGTAAGACCATATGAATGTAAAGAATGTGGAAAGGCCTTTATAGTTCTCCAGCATTTTATTAGACATAAAAAAATGCACACTGATTTGAAACCCTATGGATGTAATGGATGTGAGAAGGCCTTTAGGTTTTATTCACAGCTTATTCAACATCAGATAATTCATACTGGTGTAAAACCTTATGAATGTAAGCAATGTGGGAAGTCTTTTAGACGTTATTCTCACGTTACTGAACATCAGAAAATTCATATCGGTTTGAAACCCTATGAATGTAATGAATGTGGGGAAACTTTTAGATTGTACCGACATATGTGCCTACATCAGAAAATGCATCATGGTGTGAAACCCTATATATGCAAGGAATGTGGGAAGGCTTTTGGTCATCGCTCAAGTCTTTATCAACATAAGAAAATTCATTCTGGTGAGAAACCACATAAATGTAAACAATGTGGAAAGGCCTTTGTTCGCAGCTATCTACTTATTGAACATCAGAGAAGTCATACTGGCGAGAAGCCTCATGAATGTAAGGACTGTGGAAAGGCCTTTAGTAGGGGCTCAAGCCTTCTTAAACATAAGAGAATTCATAGTAGTGAGAAGCTCTATGATTGTAAGGAATGCGGGAAGGCCTTCTGTAGAGGCTCTCAACTTACACAACATCAAAGAATTCATACTGGTGAGAAGCCACATGAATGCAAAGAATGTGGGAAGACATTTAAGCTTCATTCATACCTTATTCAACATCAGATAATTCATACTAATTTGAAACCACATGAATGTAAACAATGTGGGAAAGCCTTCAGTCGTGTTGGAGACCTTAAAACGCATCAGTCAATTCATGCAGGGGAGAAACCATATGAATGTAAGGAATGTGGAAAAACCTTTAGACTTAATTCTCAACTGATTTATCATCAGACAGTTCATACTGGTTTGAAACCATATGTATGTAAAGAATGTAAAAAGGCCTTTCGTTCTATCTCAGGTCTTTCTCAACATAAGAGAATTCATACTGGTGAAAAACCCTATGAGTGTAAAGAATGTGGTAAGGCCTTTAATCGTAGTGATCGTCTGACTCAGCATCAGAGAATACATACTGGTGTGAAACCACACAAATGTAAGGACTGTGGAAAGGCCTTTACTCATTGCTATCAACTTACCCAACATCAAAGATTTCATAGTGGTGAGAAACTCTTGATGTAGTGAGAGTCAGAAAGCCTTTTAGCCATGGCACATCCTTTACCATTGTCACTATTCCACCACCTAATGATGTTATGGTAAAGATTAAGTTATTTAACATAAAAATATAAATGCTTAGAAAGGCATCTGGCACATAGTGTTTGTTTACTAAGTATTGTGGTTTTTAAATGATAATCACTAGTATTACTGTATATAAATTCATGTGGAAGGAGGACTCTATAAGCATATTTTTTTCAGATAATTCATTCTGGACAAAATCCCATAGAATATATTAAACAAGACCCTTTTTTATTCAAAGCTCAACCCCTTGAAGGTTAATAAGAAGAAACCCTGTGCCTTTATTGAATATTGAGAATTTAGCTGTTGAAAAACTAGAAAGTAGTTTGCAGAAACTTTTCTTACAATCAATCAATTCTGTAATACAAATAACATACAATCCACATTCCCTACAATTGAAATAAATTAAAAACTAATAATTTGGTAGCCAAAGACATACGTTGACTTGCAAAAGTGTTCCTCAAGTTTTTGAAAGTTTCCAAACTTACATAAAAGGTACAGCAGTGTTACAATGATGTTTTTTTGCCCTCCACCTAGATTCAATATCTAATATTTCTCTCTCTATGTATGAACATGTATATGTACAGATGCACAAATACCACATATCATTCTTATTGCATATTGAATGTATTTTACATATATCATTTTGCTGTGTTTTTCAGTGAATGTTTTAGATATCACTTCACCTCTAAAAAGTCAACATACAATTCTTAGAATTAAGGATAATCTTCTAGATGACCATTAACCCACTGTTACCTAAAAAGACATTAACAATAACCCTATATTGTTTCACAACATTCAGCCCATTTACAAATTTTTCTGATTGTTTAAAGAACATCTTCTAAAAGTGCTGGATTTTTAAAAAGTCAAAAACCAAACTAAGCTCATATATGTTCTATGACTGTGGCTTGTTGAGGCTGATAAGAATTGGTCAAGAATTTACTCTCCACCTCCTTACCTTTTTTGAAGACTCAGAAGAAGTAACCTACATAATATTGTTAATTCCATATTTGTCCTTTTTCTCAAGGTGGGCTTAACTTTTCCTCTTTCCTTTGTATTTATTTTGAACTGAAGGTTATGTCTAGAGGCTTGATTAGGTTTCAGATTACACATTTTTTACAAGACAACTTCATAGGTAATAGTGTACTTAATATTATAAAATATCAGTTGGCATACCAGTGAAACTATGTTTGGTCTCTTGGTTCATGTATTGGTCACCACTTCTCTCCGTTGTACTGGTACATTTTTTTCTTTGCAATTAGTAATCCACGGAAAGTCACATTGGCATTCCACTTGAAATTTAAATTGGTTATTATTTCAAAGAAATTAAGACCCCCCCAAAACTCCTCATATTTTATATTTATCCATATATTTGCCTTTCCCCATGCTCTTCATTATTCCCAGTTACCAATTCCCAATGGTCTGAATTTCCATGTGGTATCATTTTCCTTCACCTTAAAGAACGTTAGCATTTCTTGGAGTGCACATCTGCTGGTGATGAATTTTCAGTTTCTTTTACTGAATGCCTTTGTTCTTGAAGGCAGTATTTTTCTTAAAATAGATTTATGGGTTTTATTGTGTATTTTGAAAAAGATATTGTAACGCTGACTTCTGGCCTCCATAGATTATGATGAGAAGTCATTTGAATTATTTTCCTTCTGTGTCATTTCTCTTTGCATGTTTTCAAGATTTTCTCATTATCTGTTTTTCATCTGTTTGACTATGCTGGTCTAGGTATGGTTTTATGTTACTCCTGTTTGGAGTTCTCTGAGCCTCTGAAATCTGTACACTAATGCCTTTCCCCAAATTCCAGAAACTTTTATCCATATTCAGATTTTTTTTTCTGCCCTTGCCTCTCCTTCTGGGATTCCAAGTACTCATGTTAAATCTTTTGATATTATTCCACAGGTCACTTGTTCTGTTTTCTTCAACTGTTTTTCAGATTGGATAATTTCTATTACTCTATCTTCAAATTCACTGATTCTTTTTCCCATCATTTCAATTATGCTGTTAAGCTTATCTATCAAGTCTTAAATTTGAGATGTTGAACTTTTTAGTCCTATAGTCCTCATTTAGTGCTTTTTTTAATAGCTTCTATTTCCTTACTAAGATTTCCTGTTTCTTAATTGCATATTTTGACAATGCTTTTGATTCTGAAGAAAATCTTTCATATATCAATTCATGATAGGAAAATTAGTAAAATTAGTATTAACTTATGAAAAGTATCACTTTCAGGAAAAATTCCTACCCTTTTAGCTAAGTCATAAAAACAGATTTTCCTTTCCTTGGAATTTCAGATTTTGTTTGTTCAAATGCAGTGTGATACTTGTGAGAAAGCAAATCACACTGTCATTTTGGGGGTCTTGATTATGAAATATTTGCCAAGTATTTTTAAATTTTTTTAAATGTTTATTTTTGAGAGAGAGAAAGAGAGAACAAGTGGGGAAGGGGCAGAGAGAGAGAGAGAGAGAGACTGAGAGAGCACAGAGCCCGACGAGGGGCTCAAAGTCACAAACCACAAGATCATGACCTGAGCCAAAGTCAGACACTTAACTGACTAAGCCACCCAGGCACCCCACCAAGTATTTTTTTTTTTTTTTAAAGAAAGCCTCAGAGTTGAAAGTACCGTAAATCTTTGTATAACTCTTCCACCATTCAACCAATGAGCACTGGCAAAAAACATAAGATAAATAAATTCATTGTTTTCTGTTTCTTTCAACAGCTCCATAAATGACAATGATTCATAACATTTACATGTATATACCAAGCCATCATACTTTCCATACTGGGAAGCAAGTCAATTAGGGAGACATTAGGCTCTTACCTTAAAATTCCAAGGGATCCACATTTTAACAGCATAGCTGGAGCACCACCTATTGTAATAGAAATTATTTTTTTTTCATATCTAGAGGAAATTCTTTTTTTGACATATATAGATTTTTAATTATCTATGGTATGAATCTAATTTTGTAGGCTAAAAATTGACAACATTTCTATTTGATTTGGAAGTCTTTGAAACAAAATGTACCCAGAGTGTTAATTTGGCAATATTTCATATTGTACAACTCACCTAAAAACTAAAGAAGAATATACGTAGCTTTACTAATTTTGAATTAATCTTTAATATTGTTAGAAAGATCTTTTATGAGCAGTTGACCGGTGGCTTAATTAAAAAAAATTTTTTTTACTTAAAATTTTTTTAAATGTTTCTATGTATTATTGAGAGATAGACAGAGCGTGAGCCAGGGAGGGGCAAAGAGGGGGGACACACAGAATCCGAAGCAGGCTCCAGGCTCTGAGCTGTCAGCACAGAGCCCAACATGGGGCTCAAACCTACGAACTGTGAGATCATGACCTAAGCAGAAGTTGATGCTTAACCAACTGAGCCACTCAGGTGCCCCCTTTTTTTTTTTTTATAAAATATAATGTTTAGTCTTCATATCCTAACAAAACTCCATAATTAAAATAATTTATCTTTCTATATTTCCATCTGAAAATTGATATTTTGTGTGTAAGACACAAAGCCATTTTATAGCTACACACAGTTATAAGCTCAGATTATGTTTCAAAGTTATTTAAATATTTTGGTTGCCCATTTAATGCTCCTTTCAGGTAAGTGCTTTTATCTATTCCTTTTTGGTTATTGAAAGGAAAATTTTCATCAATTTTTTTTCCAAAAAATTTTCAAAAATTTTTTGTTTGTTTGCTCTGTTCACAGCAAATTGCAACTGGCATTTATGGTGAAATTCATAGCACTTCTTCCAGCCTCTTATTTTTTACTACTCTGGCCAGAGTACTGGCTTCCATTTGACTACAGGCCATTAGTATGCTTTCATTTAAACTTTTAAAATTTGTACATATTTATTTAACCTAGAATAATTTAATTATGATTAAAGTAATAAGTGCTTATATTTAATTGCCAATTATTATTTCCTTCATATCACTGCAACTCACGTTGTCTTCATAAAATACCCAAGTAAACCCATCGATGGCTTGACATCAGCTACATCAGTGATGTGATTACGTGTAACACTAGAAACAACATCTACACAGGACATGTACATTATAATACAAAAATAAGATCTATGCAGTGGTTGAAGTGAAATGTAGTCCTTCCAAAACAATAAAGTTGTCAGTAATGGCAAAATATGTCAACACTGCTTTTTAAAAAAGTTTTATTGGGGCGCCTGAGTGGCTCAGTCGGTTAAGCGTCCGATTTCGGCTCAGGTCATGATCTCGCGGTTTGTGAGTTCGAGCCCCGCGTCGGGCTCTGTGCTGACAGCTCGGAGCCTGGAGCCTGTTTCGGATTCTGTGTCTCCCTCTCTCTCTGACCCTCCCCCATTCATGCTCTGTCTCTCCCTGTCTCAAAAATAAATAAACGTTAAAAAAAATTTTTTTTAAATAAAAAAAAAAAAAGTTTTATTTATTCATTCATTTAAGTAATCTCTACACCCAATGTGGGCTTGACCTTATGACCCAGAGATCAAGAGTTGCACACTCTTTGAGCCAGCCAGTTGCCCCTACACTGCTTTTGTTTGTATATTTAAATTAACTACAATTAGATAAAGTTTAAATCAATTTTTCAGTTACACTAGCCTTGTGTCTTAGAAAGTTCAATTGGGTGGCCATATAGTATGTATTGGATATAGGACAGGAATGAGAGGAGCATCACGAAAAACTGAATACAAAGTATCTGTCCAATATTACTAGGGACTGCAATAATCCAGGCTGCATATAAGGAAGATTCACTACAGCTGTGATGGTAGGAAAAAAAGTCAAAAAATTTTCATATATTAAGTAGAATTAGCAGGACATAATGGGATGTAAGAGACCAAAAATTCCAGAAAGACTTAAAAAAATTTTTTTTTTACATTTGTTTATTTTTGAGAGACAGAGAGACACAGCACAAGTGGGGAGGGGCATAGAGAGGAGACAGAATCCGAAGCAGGCTCCAGGCTCTGAGCTGTCAGCACAGAGCCCTACATGGGGCTCGAACCCACGAACGGTGAGATCATGACCTGAGCCAAAGTCAGACGCTTAACCGACTGAGCCACCCAGGCACCCCCAGAAAAACTTAAATACTGTAAGTGTACCTGTAAACTCCCATTTCAATTATTTAAAAAAAAATATTTTTTTAATGTTTATTTTTGAGAGAGGGAGACACACAGAGGACAAGTGGGAGAGGGGCAGAGAGAGGGAGATGCAGAATCCAAAGCAGATTCCAGGCTCTGAGCTGTCAGCACAGAGCCCAATGCGGGGCTCAAACCCACAAACCATGAGATCATGGCCTGAGCCGAAGTCAGACATTTAACCGATTGAGTCACTCAGGCACCCCTCAATTATTTACTCCTTAGCGTTTTTGTTCAATACTGGTATCCAAGAAGATAGTTTCCATGGTCCGTATTTGAATTAGGGCCAAGTGTGCTAATTATCTCCTATATTCATCCACTTTCTTCCATAATAAAATAATGACCATTTCTTTATTTGCTTATGTGCATAACTCAGAATGATGATTCCCCCGCCTTATTATGGATCTTCTGTTAAGGCCAACTGGAGACCATTGAGATTGTGTGGCAGTTTGGGGAAATCTTCCTTAAACACGCCTATCTCCCTTTCTTCCTTACTCCGTGTCTCCATTCTGCTGCCTGGATTTGGATAAAATGGTTTGGAGGACTTTGGAGCAGAGCCACAAAACCAGGCTTAGACTGCCACCTCCAGAATTCTAGGTGACAGAAAAATTTTCCTGTTTGAGCCAGTCGTTCTGTCTCTGTCTTAAAGCCGAACATAATCTCTACTGATTCACCCAGGTTGTTGTATACTAAAAACAGCTATCACATGTTCCTATCTCACCTCAACCAAAAACAGAGCAAAGATTTTACATAAATATTCCCATGTAAGTGTTTATTCCCACCTCATCAAAAATTCAGAATACCTGCAAGGGTGAGACACTGATATTTCCCTCCTTAGGGACATGCTTTTCTGCTTTTTTAACAATTCAAATAGTGCCAAATGACATTTTGGAAGACTACATGAACTTTGGAGGAAAAGGCATTCGTGGCTGTTATTTGAGACCTTCCTTGGGGAAGAGGAGCTAAGATAATTTATAGAACACTGTAAAATAGGAACTTAAATAAATGCTTCTAAGCTTGGGAAACATAAGCAGTGAGCATTAGCAGAA